AATTAGGATCACCCTTTTTGTAAACAGGTGTTACTATGGCAGTTTTCAGGCATTCAGGAAATACACCAGATTTTAGTGAATTATTTATGATTGTAGTGAGAGGATTCACTATCTACTTTATACAAAGTTTAAGGATTTTAGTGGGTATTTCATCAATTCCACAACTCATTTTGTTTTTTAAATTTTTAGTTATATCCATAATTTCAGTTTCTGTCACAGGTATGACAAACACTGAATTTATGTTACTTGCAATGTTGTCTTTACATTCAGTGTATTGTAATTGAGATAAAGTGTTATTTAAAGAAGTATTTAAGTGGATCATGTATTTATCAGCAATCTCTTGAGGACTACCCTCTACTTTTATTGAATTTACACTTTTTAATTGACCATTAATTTCACTAACAATTTGCCACATGCATTTATTTTTGTTGGCAGCTTCAGACATCCTGTTTTCATATAGCTTTGATCGTTTTGTTATTAGTTTCTTATTATATTCTTTTTTTACCTGTCTATAGGAATCATAGAATTTATGGTTAACTCTGCTCATTGTAAACAAGATGTCTAAACGAGTCTTACATTCTATTATCTCTAGATCATCTCTTTTATTAAGGCCTTTTTTACGTTGCCTAGAATCTAACTTTTTAAAAGGAAAGCACTGATTGAATATATACAGAAACTGATTTAAGAAAGTATTCTATTGATCATTTACACATTTGTAACTTAAATTAAGCCAGTCATGATTATGTAATTTACTTATAAAGGTTTCAATATAATTTGTACTAATTTTCATTTCAAGAGTATTCGTTTCTGCTTCCTCTACCTGAAAAGTTAATTTTTGGGCAGAATGATCAGAGATTCCAGCGTGCAAGACTTCTACTGACACACATGATTGCATATTTGTTAGTATGTTATCTATACAAGTTTTAGATGTGGCAGTTACTCTAGTGTAGTCTTGAATTACATGACAAATATTATATGAGTTAATTAACATACAAAATTTTACTTTATCTAATGTGTTATGCTTAAGATCGATATTGAAATCTCCCCCTATAATTATAATTGTGTTTTCTATCATAATTCTTCAAAGTATAATATCAAATTTGTTTAAAAAAACTGCCAGATCGCTACCTGATGGTCTGTAAACTGATGCTATAATGAGTTTGTTATTACCTATATTAGCTTCGCATACAGCACACTCTATTACCCTATCTACTGATAACTCTTGTATATCCTTTCTTTCCTGGCCAATGATGTCTTTACTAAGATATATAGCTGTTCCTCCATGTTCATTCACATTATTTCTACAATGACTAGCTGTCAGCACAAAATTGTTAATTCCATATTCACTTAATTCTTCTTTAGTTTTCCAATGTTCTGTTGTGCACAATATTTTACAGTCACTGTTGTTTGTTAGAAGTTCTTCTATTTCATCAATACAATTTCCTATGGATTGGAGGTTCTGGTGGATGATACTTATATTCTTTGCTTGTGTGACTGTGTTTTGTATTTCAATTTCCTTGTGTTGATGTGTCTTGTGCTCTCTATTTTCTCTTATGAAAAATTTACACCTCGATTATCTAGAAAATCCTTATGACAATGCATCTGGAACCTTTTTATGCCAACACCATTAGGCCAAAACTCTGGTTTATACATGTCATCCTTATATTCAAAGGGAGCCGATACAACAAATCTCTTAAACATATTTTCTTGACTTGGCAATTCCTTTACCATAATAGACTCTTGTTGCATTTTCCTCTTTTCTATTAGAAATTTACATATCTCCTCTTGTTTTGTTGTTCTCTTCACTCTATACAAGTATAGCCACACTTTTTTTCCCCTGCAAAACCACTTGTGCTATCGTCATCGCTTACTGCTGTTCCTATATTTTTTTAGTTATGTACCGATGTCTCCTGTGTATAACTTTTTGGAACCCATCTGAGTCACTATCGCTGTTTTCCTCAGTTATTTTATGTTTTTTTATTTGCTCATTAACCTCAGTTGTTTGTTTATTTTTGAGGTTAACATTAATGTTTTCACTTGTCTTCTGTTCAGAGGAACTACTTAAACTTTTTGACGTTTGAGCTACTACTTCTGTGAATGATCTATTTTGTGTACGAGGTGGTACTGACCTTGAGAATTTTTTATCAACAGAGTGATCCATTATCTGATCTTGTTTATTTACACTTTGTATTCAGTTTTTTTTTGCGGTTTTTTGCTCTAGATAACTTACTTTTTGGCGCAATAAATTATTGTTTTCTTTTAATACAACATTTTGTCTTCATTTCATATTTCTTTTAAGAGTCATTTCTAATCTCAGTTTGGATAATTCTTTTGTAGTTGACATCTGGTTTGTTTCGGTATCACCGCCTTTTTTGTCACAGCATATTATGATATTTCTCTCACATGTTTCAAATCCACATCTTTTTGCACAGATAGAGTGAAAAACACTATAACAATATTTACACAAAACTATTTTACACTCTTTTTTACCGGAGCATTTAAAATTTATTTCCAAGTTTTCACCATCAATTGGCCATACGTCTTCGACAGCGGCCATCTTCAGTTAAACTCTTCAGTCTTCAGTTAAACTTCAGTTAAATATGTTGAGTAATTGCAGTACCCATTACTGACAGCCATGAATTTAAATATGCTTCTGCCAAATCAGATAAAAATATTTTTGGATGATGTTCACCTACAAATTGGAGAAATTATAAATATAAAATGAATACATTTGTAATTTAACTACTTACCAACTTCAGTGTTTATATGTTGAAAAAATAATTGATATATGCAAATGTTTTCTATTAGCAAACATGAAGGCTACTGAAAAACCCTGTTTAAATTCATCTAATACCATCAGTTGTCAATTCAAAATCATATGAATTCAAACTGTGTGTTCCATCAATTGTTAAAGTACCTGGTTTCCAGATTTGCATAACATTGTTTTTTGAAATTTATTCACAATTATGAGACAAAAATCTTATCGTTTCAATAATGCTCCCTCTGCGCCTTGTATTTTATAGAACAATATTGGGTTTTCAGCATTTTTGAAGTATTTTCTTGTACCCACAAATCCAAGGACACTGCATCATTTTTACATCTGTTTGGATCTTGAAATTCATGACCAAAACTTCTTTTAATATTGTTCACATCTGACACAGTAAGCAGATCTATTCTCTGCAAGTGTTCCCCAATGTTATCATAAACACTTTGTCCAATTCTGAAAAATACATTTTATTTTTGCTACTTATGAAATACTTAATGATCAAATAAAATTCATGGCAATTACATCATCTTATAATATTAAAATATATTTGCTTACTTCTTAGGTGGAATTCCAACAAGTAATTTGGATGCAACTTTTTCTAGTCTTGCTTCGGGACTAATTTTTCCAAGCTCAATTTTGTGCCTACAGTGTGTTTTTTGAAAGTTCACCATTATTTTATTATTTTCATATACAACTTTTATTTGGCTAGTGCATAATGAATTCATATGGCATAAAACTTGAAACTTACAACTATTATTGTATTGCTTATTTAATACTTGCTTTACGTCATGACCTACAAGGAAAAAATTTGAAGGTGTAAATAATATATAGTATTCATCTAATATGAAGTTATCCTAGGTTACTGATTCAACTGACTGTTTCAAAATAATAAATTCTTCAATAAAAAAGATATTTAATCAGGAAGTGTCAACTAATATACATTTTAATTATATTTTATAAAGTACAACAAAATAATATCCAACTAAATTAAATATTAGAATAAAACTTACCACCAATATTTGTAAAATTAATTGTGACATTTAAACTATAAATTAGGAATATTTTTCAGGTGATTTTTTAAAAATATTCCTTGCTGAAAGGAATTATCACAATCAAGTTCCAAAAACTTAAAGCCCCATACATTTTTAGCATAAGATGAATTTCTTTGACGTGTCTATTTAGAGTAAATTGTTTTGAAAATTGTATCACAATAAAATTTTATCACATCTTTTAAAAAATATGTCACCAGCGAATTACCAAAAACGAAAACAAGAAATCAAAAAAGTTAGGTTAAGTCCAATTCATAAACGTCAAATTGTTGTCAAAACCTAGACTACTACAATGGCGTTCTCTGTCAATTTTCTTTATGAAGCACTAGATGGCGTCTGATATTTTGCTAAATTATCCAAGAAGAATAGTCATGCAGAAATGATTTTGCAACGTTTTACTTTAAACAAAAACTATAAAATCTACAAATATTGCGGTTATTATTTGCATATTTTATACTTTTATTTAAAGTATAGAAAGTTACAAATTATTTCTACGTGACAGGCGATCTTCAATATGATAGAAAAATATAAGGCGCCATCTAGTGCCCTTCATAGAACAGGGACAGAGAATATTATGTTTACAACAGACGATTCCTGTTATTCAAAGATTGGTTTAGAGAAACTGTAATTTAAACTGGCACATAAGGTAAACATTATTTAAAAATCCTTTAATATAACTTTATTTCATTTATACAATATTGTTAAATACCAAATACGAAATTATAGTCCTACAAATTACCAAATTATAACCTATTGTAGATATTTCAGAATGCTTCTCTCTATAGCAAGAGATCTAATTATTATTTTTTATTTTCTCTTGGTTATTTATACTTTTAAAATGTTCTTTAGTTTAAATAATACATACAATAGGAATATATTTGAATATATTTATAATAGAGGTTAATTTGGCTAATTTGGTTCATGTTCCATTAAAACTTTCATTAACTATCATTTTTTCGGTGTCTAAGGTAGATAAATTCATATATAGGTACATTTTCCTGCATCGCTTTTATGACTTTCTTTTTTAGACAGTTCACATATGCTAAATCTCTACAATTTTAAACTAAATTACTGCTAAACTACATTAAGTGTACAGTGCATTATTCTCTTTTTAGGCAATCCAAATATAGTTAAACAGTATAACGTAGTTATTAGTGGTAATAATAATTATCGCTGGCATCAAAATGGCTGACAAAAAATCTAAAAAACAGGTAAGTTATTAATATATTTGGTAGTAAAATATCTATAAATAGCATGATCAAGATACATAATGCTTTAGCATCTATTACTTACAAAACAATGCTGATTATAATAGTACCTACATAACTTTTATTAGAGGAAAGTACCCAAAAGTGAACTCCCATCTACGCTTGAAACCCACGCCAGTGGACAGTGGAATCACAGAATACACCAAGTTGGGTTGGTGTATTCTGTGGTGGAATCAAAAATTAGGTCGGTCTTAACCCTTTCGAGCCGGCATCAGGTGAAACGTAGTAGTTTCCCAGTACGGGCAAAGTCAACAGTTGCTGATTAATCCGCTTCCCGGTCACAATCAGTAGGGGAGGATGGGGCATTGTGAACCATCTAAGGAAGATATGCACATACTGTTAAACCAGAAATGATTTTGTTTTGTTTAATTAATTAGGGACGTTTCATTAAACATTTAACTGTCATTTAGTTGCAATTGAAACATAATTTATTTAACGTATTTTCAACAAAAAAATGACAACTGACTATATGTCAAAAGTTCACATTTATTTATTATATATATATATTTATTAATTTTTATCTTAGCTTTTTCCTTTTTCATTGTTTCTATTGCCTCCTTCGTGTTTATTTCAAGTTCTAATTCTAGCTTATACGGACTAGATGTCAGTACAGCCGTTTTACCTTTTTTAGATTTCCTCTTTGGTTCCATTAATTTACTTCTCCTTGGCAGAGAACGAATGTCTTTAGGGCTGTTTGCTCCAAATGAAGTTGTTGCTCTATTGTGTGCAGGGGAAATTGTCAATTGAAAATCGTTACCAGTATGAAACTTTGCAACTGAGGTTGAAGCAATTACCTCATCTTGGCTTAAGTGAGGCTCTGCAGTTGAAGTTGAAGGAATTGCCTCATCTTGACTTGACACTGGTAGACTATTATTCTCCAAATCTCTTTCAGTCGTAGCAGATGGTGCAAAATCAAGGTCTGTAAATATATTGGGATCATAAGGTACTATCCCACATTTTTTAAAAGCGTTAATAGGAGTCAATGGTGTTGCAGCTTCTAAGAAAGCCTCACCAAAAATTTTAGAGATTTGGAAAGCTGTTACCACTCTGCCTGGGTTGTTATTAAGAAACTTTTCTAATGCCATATCATAATATCGTGCTAAAGGAGCCATGACACCAACTCGGTTGGCTGCATTCGATGGGTGGAATGTGGAGGCAAACAAATATGATATGTACATGTTTTTCCCTAGCCAAATTAATTACTTCTATGTTTTTTGTATGGCTGCTGTGTCCATCCAAAATCAATAAGATCGGATCGTCTTCACTTGGTTTCGTTTGTTGAAGAAAATGTTGAAACCATATTAAAAAGAGTTCACTATTTATCCAGCCACTATCGCTACAGGCGAATATTGAACCTGGAGGTGCACCAGCTTGGAGTTCGACTTTCATTGTCTTTCTCGCAAAGATTAACATTGGCGGTATGAAGATTCCTGATGATGACATGCAAATAACGGCTGTTGTTATTCCACTTCTATCAGCAGAAGTAAGCCGTCCAACTTGTTTCCGTCCTTTATGCGCCAAGATTTTACTATTACATTTGGGGACTGTACCTAGACCTGTTTCGTCACAGTTAAAAACACGCGTTGGATTGACATGTTTTGAATCCAAAGTAGCTTTATACAGATCAAAAAATTGTTTTACATTGTAACGATTAAAAGCTTCAGCTCTTGCAGCAGATGTTGATTCGGGTTTACGTAATGAAAGCCCTGGGTGCCGTTTTCGAAATCCGTACGCCCAATCTAAACCTGCAAGTTTGTTTGTTTTATTATATGGATGGTCTATGTTATTTTTTTAAACGCTTCTCCATATCTAAGATATAATTATACAATTCTTCTTCCTGTTCCTTGGTAAGAACCGTTTTGTAGAAACCTAGACCCTTTTCGTCAGGAGAAATTCTTGTTACTCTTTCTTTGCATCTGCGAATTAACGTTGCTTTCGGGATACCATAAACTTTACTAGCTTTTAAATAGCCCATCTCCCCAGCTTTAACTGTCCGGATAGCATTCTTCAAGGCAACAAGAGACCAGGATTGTTGCTCAGTTTTCCTCACATAATTTCGTACCATTTCTAACTGCAAAAGAAGCATATAATTAAAAAAGTGTCAAGAAAATATAATGGGGCAATGTGAACCACTCCTAGTCCACGTTGCCCCATGCGTAGTACACATTCAAAATATGGAAATTAACGTACCAGTTCACAACGTATCAAAAGCAAATCTTAATTATTAAAAGCACATTTTACAAGCAACACCACAGTATCAAAACTTAAAATAATCATGTCTACTTACCGAGAAATCTTTAGTCAAAAGTAGTAAATTCCTTAGATCAGCAGCGACGAAACACGTGTTTTTAATTATAACACGTCTGAACGTACTCCCCTTGCGTTGAAACTCATACTAAAAGTAGATAAGATGTCTACACATATTTGTAGTAGTTACTAGATGCAGTTTTGCCAATTTTAAACAAAATAACCGATGTGGTTTACATTACCCCCATGGTCCATGATGCCCCATCCTCCCCTAATTATGGTGGTAATTACATATATTCATTTTTATTTATTTTTCTGTTCGTATTGGCGTTATTAGAAAAAGAAACAAGTTAGTTATTAAAAAAACCATTTTTATTTGAATTAAAAATTCATAAAGAAGCAAAATAACCAAAAAAGTGTGCACAAAAAGACATCATCATCATCATCTTGGTGCTACAGCCCTTATAGAGGGCCTCGACCTTCTCAAGCTGTCTACGCCATTCTGTTCTCTCCTTTGCTTGCATTTTTCGGTTGCCGACTCCGATCTTCTCCGCATCTTGTGTTACCCCATCCATCCACCTCAGCTTTGGTCTACCCCGTCTCCTCATTCCCACGGGTTGCGCTGTTAGAATCTTTTTTATTATGTTCGATTTAGGGGCCCGTTTAATTATAGTGGTAATATCTTTACCATCAAACGGATTCTTGTACATATTCTGCAGTTCAAAATTATATCTACGCCTTCATATTCCGTTCTCACAGACCGCTCCGAATATCTTGCGTAGCACCTTTCTTTCAAAAATCGATAGAGCGGATTCATCTGTTTTAGTTAGCGTCCATGCGTCTGATCCATATGTGAGAACGGGGACTATCAGATTTCTATACAGCCTTATACGAGTTTTTTCAGACAGACGTTTGTTAGCTAAGTACTTTGATAGACCATGATAACACCTGTTTGCAATTATCATTCGCCTTTTTATTTTCTCAGATGTGTTATTATTGGGGTTAACCGATGTCCCTAGATATATGAACTCTTTGACTGATTCGAAGTTTTGGTCATTGATGATTAAATTTGCGTCAACATTTCCAGCTCTTGTATTTGTGTTAGTCGCCATGAATTTGGTTTTATTTTGATTTATATGTAACCCCATTCGTTCTGCTGCTGACTAGCTCGGTTAGGATTTTCGTAGTTCTCGCCCTAGTTCTTGTTATAATATCCACGTCGTCCTATAGTGCTTTGTATTTACAAGTGGCATCAAATCCTGAAGTGTGTTGTTTTAAACCTTGGGCCCAGTATTGTTGCAATTTTTGGACTCATCGATTTTTCAATGGCTCCAAACTTCAATTCCTTTTTTTATTTCAAGTTTTAATATTTCTGCAAGTTCATACTGTAAGTAAGTATATGGTGACATAGCTAGATCCGCTAGAGTGCTAGACTAATTCGTTACTTTTTTAAGTAGAAACTTTTTTATAAAGTTTAACTCTTCATATTCATTTGCAGTCAACATTGTTGGTGCATCTGTGGAGGAAAAAATACCTTGCTAATCCGACAAGCCTAGTTCTAAAAACGTTCCGGTATGTAGAAAGTGGAATTACACCTAGTTTTTACATCCAGGATCATTTTTTTATTTTCACTTAAAAATGGTAGAATTTTTTTATCTCTAATTACTCTACGTAATATTTTAAAAATTGCTCAAGATTTTTACTCAGAATTGTATAAGCGAGAAGAACTTTCAGATCCTAATCAAAATCAAATACCAAAAGTTCAAAATGTAGGCTCAGAAGACATCCCAGATATCACAACAGCGGAAATGAAATCAGCTCTCTCGGAAATGAAAAACAATCAAAGAAAGAAAAAATCAAAGAAGGAGGAGGAACGTTACTAAATGTATGACAAAGATGTTCAATGCTTGTTTGACAAGAGGCGTAACCCCTCCCAGTGGCATAATGAATAATAACATAATGCACAAAAAGGTGACATTTCAGACCTAAAAAACTACAGACCTATTAGTTTGCTCTCCCATACATACAAACTATTCATGAAGATAATAACAAAACGGCTTGTGAACAAACTGGATAGTTACCAACCTTGTGAACAGGCTGGGTTCCGCTCCAGATACGGACCAAATGATCATCTACAAGTTATAAAAACGCTAATAAAAAAGTGTACAGAGTATAACAAGCCTATCTTTCTTATATTCGTAGATTATGAAAAGGCGTTCGATACTATAGATCATCATAAAATGCTTCGAGCATTGGCTGACTGCCGCATTGACTACCGATATATCGCCTTGATTAAAAGTATTTACGAAACTGGTACAGCTTTTGTCCGCCTTCATGAAGATACCAAGAAGTTTCGAATAGAACGTGGAATTAGACAGGGTGATACTATCTTCCCTATATTGTTTATAGCTGTTCTTGAATATATGTTCAAGCAAATGGAACGAGAGGATAATATGGGAACTAATATAAATAGGGAAGATCTGAACCACCTAAGATTTGCCGATGACATCGTTTTAATATCTGATAGAGTTGATAAAGCTACAAAAATGCTGCACACGCTCTATAAAGTGTCAAAAACAATTGGTCTTAAAATTAACACCTCAAAGACAAAATTTATGACCAACCTTGTAGTCAGCGGTAAAATTCTGATTTAGAGCCATAGCATCGACCATGTAATAGCTTACAAATATCTAGGA